AAAATAATGAAGAATTCAAGAAAGACTTTGCAAATTGTAAACCAAAAGCCCTTCTGGTATCATTTTTCACTTACTAGTGATAACAATGTGTTAAGTGAGAGGCTATTAAAAAGAAAGTAAGAACTTTTTGCTTTCACTGTAATGTGCCTTAAATCCAAAGTTCATCAAAGAAAATCTTACCCTGCCATCTGCAAAACAAAGAAAAGATAAAATTTTAAACTAAACAGCAACTTATTTTAGAAAGTAATATTTAGCGTATTTTATTTTTAGTTTCCATCTTTAATCCATCTTTAATATACTTTGTGTTTGCTGCCTGGGGAGTTTTTCGTTCAAAACAGAGTTTGTGTATGAAAATCCATTTACTGAATCACTGCTTTTTAGTGAATGACAACTAATGTCAGACTCTGATCAAAATCCTGAAGACTATTCCTTTGCCTACCCATTTTATGGACATTTTACTACTTAACAACAGTGACAACTCAAAAATTTTATAATTCACTAACAAGTCAATCTAAACGGCATAAAGAGGTACACTGATACTAGCATGTAAATAAGTGCTAATTTTTAAAAACATTTCTAGAGATTTATACTTTTCTTAGGAAAAACCTAAGGATAACACTAAGTCTTATTTTTAAGTCACCATAATGGTGTAGCCAATAATTTACTACCATGTCTGCTAGCAACCAATAAATTATACTCTTCTAAAAGTAAGCTAAGCGTTTGTAAATCTCCAAATATCTGACTTATATAACTAATTGTATTATTTTCAGTGTCTCAAAAATTGACTGGAAAGATCAGACTTCCCTCACTAGGCATTACTTACTATTGATAGGGTTCTGGACACGTTATTTTAAAATATGGCATTTGAGAAAAGCACAGAAGCAAAACGGTCTCTCTGATCTTCTCCTGCCCTTCTCCCCTGAAATGGGCCATAAAAGAATTCTCTGACCTTCCTCCAAAGTAGGTCATAGGACCTTCATGAGAAAGGTACTATCCCTAGACCCCAAGGAAAGGAATATCCCTATCCCTGAGGACACAGAGATGCCAAAAAGAATCTAAACAAACAGGCCTTGCTAAGTTCCCTCAGTTTATTACCATTAAATCATACCCCCCTTTATCCAATCACACTTCTCCACAACTGTCCACACTTTACTAATTCAAGCACAAAAATAAAGTTTTTCCCATTTCTTTGAGTCATAATTTCTGAAGGTTCCCATGTCACATAAAATCTGTATTAAATTAATTTGTATCTTTTTCTTGTTAATCTCTCTTTTATTAAAGGGGTCTGACACATGAACCTAGAGATGGGTGAGAAAAGAAATCTTTTCTCCTCTATATTATCAACATCTCAATAACAGATCCTTCTCTCTTAAGCATCTGACAAGCTTTAGATAACTGTGCAGAATCCAGTTATATTATTACAGCAAGATTTTACAGGTGTGTGTGGAAGAAAAACTCCTTCTAGAAGGCGGCAATGAAGTTGGTCATTACCAAAGTCAAGTCATTAAATAACTCAACAGTATTTATAGAGTGTCTGCTAGGTACTGAGGGCACAAGTACTACGGCATGGTGTGCTCTGCCTCAAACTAGTAGTGGTGGTAAAGAGGAGAAAAAATTTGATAAATGCTAGACTTCTGATATGAAAAGTCTTAAGTGGTATAATCCAAGAGAGCCCTTTTAAAAAATTTTTATGGATATGTAACAGTTGTACATATTTATGGGGTACATGTAATATTTTGATACAAGCATAAGATGTGTAATGATCAAATCTAGGTAATTGGGATATCCATCACCTCAAACATTTATCAATTTTTTGTGTTAGGAACATTCCAAATCTATTCTTCTAGATATTTTGAAATATTTTTAAAGAGTTAGTTATCACCTATCAAAATATATGTTTACAGACATTATATGTTTAAAGTCTAAATTTAATTGCTTTTCACTTTGAAATATTTACAATACATGGCTTATATGTAAACACATATATGCTAGATAATGTCAAAATGAGGCAATAATCAATTTGGCTGTATTAAATAGATAACTATTACTTTAAAAACTGTGCTAATAAATATGAAACTGATAAGACTGGTATTCAGCTAACAGTTGTGTTTGTTAAGAGGGCTCAAAGCAAGAAAACTGTTTCTGACCCAATAATCTCTGCTCCCTGTAGTGTGTAAAGGAGGTGGTTTCCTATTGTCATTAACATTTCTATTAATATGCAGTAAGAAGGCAAAGACAGGTTGTTTATTTGAATTGTTAGCAAGCTCCACTAGACTGACAAATTGTTTCTTTTCATGTCAGCCCTGGGCAGAAACAAGATTCTCCAGGGAAAACACGTTCATGTGTCAAATGCTATGGTGTGTTAGTAAAATAAAGACAAGTGGCTCCACCCGGAAGGGAGGAAGGGAACCATTATTTTTTTTTTTTTCGATTTAGACTTGAAGGAAAATTTAAAATTTATTTAAAAAAACAAAAAAACAAAAACTTATACAGAAAATTTTCAGTAGAAGATCTTAATAGTCATGGAGAACACAGTCTCTAATGATAAAATAGTTAGGCAACATATATAAATATATAGACATAAACTTATGAAGTATTTTACAAGTTGGGTCATTCTCTTGGTCGTTAGCTCATTTTCTTGCCAAGGAAGTAGAGGAGAGAGGCATCTCTAATCATCTTCCATAATTTCTTAGATAACTCCTCCAACAAGCAGTTACTGTACCTCAACTATCACACATTTCAGTCTGAGACGTCTAGTCATGGGATCTTACATAAAAGGTACACCAGTGAAATGGCAAATACTATACCCATATTCGTTAAAAGAAATAATAATAAAGTGACAGGCTAGCTTTAAACAGCAGGAGCTCTTCAGCAAGTAAAGAATGTTTTCTTCCATTAGTTAGTTTTCAAAAATTGAGGTATCTCTGAGAAGTAAAAAGCTTTCCTTTCCTTAAACTTTCCTGTATCTTCCACACCACCTAATTGGCTAATGAGATCAGTGTATGTAACTGCATTTGTGTAGCATTTTAGAAACCACCCAGCAGCCAGCTGCTTCTCCCAAAACATGCCCCACAATTTTTCTGCTTCCCTCTCTTTGTATAAGTGGTTTCCTCCACCTAGAGTGCCCTCTTCTCCACTACTGCATAAGAAGTCCTTCAAGGACTGATTCCCTCACCGATGAAGCTTTGTCTGGTTTTCCTAGTAGAAAATGACTTTTCTTTCCTAAGAGCCCAACCTGTTCCGTGGGGTGGGGATAGAAAAAGTGAAAAAGTAGGCAAGCAGAATGGAAGTTACTAAGAAATTAAAACTCTCTCTAAATTAGGCATCAAGTTGAAACAAGATACGGACAGTAAAAAATTGATTACATAATAAAACGAAGTATTTTAGAAATGAATTTTGGAAAGCAATTTTTCCAGACAGTTCAGTAAACAGACTATCCTCATTTAAGAATAGCTTCAAGATCTACTGTACAACATGGTGACTATAGTTAATAATAATGTATAGTCATGTGCCATACAAGAACTTTTTGGTCAACAACAGGTCACATATACAACAGTGGTCCCATAAGATTATAATGGAGCTGAAAAATTCCTACCACCTAGGAATAATGATGATCCTAGTGATGTCTCAATGACCGGACTCTGTGTAGGATGTGTGTGTTTGTGCCTTAGTTTTCAACAAAAAAGTTTAAAAAGAAAAAAAAACAAATTAAAAAATTTTAAAAATAGATAAAAGCTCACAAGGATATAAAGAAAATATTTCTGTACAGCTGTACAATGTGTTTATGTTTTAAGCTATGTGTTATTCCAAGAGTCAAAAAGTTAAAAATTTAACAGTTTAAAAAGCAAAAGTTACAGTAAGCTAAAGTTAATTATTGAAGAAAAATATTTTTTATAAACTTCATACAGCCTAAGTGTATAGTGTTTATAAAGGTTACGGTAGTGTACAGAAACATGCCAGGCCTTCACATTCACTCACCACTCACTGACTCACTCAGAGCAACTTCCAGTCCTACAGGTTCCGTTCATGTTAAGTGCCCCCTATCCAATTGTACCATTTTCTATCATATAACATATCGTATGTAACTTTTCTATGTTTAGGTATACAAATATCATTGTGTTACAACTGTCTACAGTATTCAGTACAGTAACCTGTTGTACCGGTTTGTAGCCTAGGAGCAACAGGCTATACCATATAGCTCAGGTGTGTAGTGGACTATACCATCTAGGTTTGTGTAAGTACACTCATTCATGTTTGCACAAGGAAATCACCTAATGACACATTTCTCAGAACATATCCCCATCATTAAGCCATGCATGACTGTACTGTACACTTGAAAATTACTAAGAGATTAGATATTAAGTGTTCTCATCACAAAAAAAAGATAATTATGTGAGGTGATGGATATGGTAATCAGCTTAATTTAACCATTTCACAAAGTATAAATATATCAAAACATCATGTTTTACTTATTATATATGTGTAATAAATATATACAATTTTTATTTGTCAAATATACCTTAATAAAGCTGAGGGGAAAAAAGTGAATCATCCATACATTATCACAAAAAAATAGAATAACTATGTTACATTAGTGGATAAAAGCCCAACACTTCTTCTATTGTGCTATTTAAGGTTGTTAATTCAGTCATGAAAATTAATGACTTGGGACTTTTAGGATCAGAGGCTAATAAAATATCAGGTAGAAGAGGTTATTGCATACTACTTCTGCCGATATGATTCACATTCACAGAAGCATTTGCTATGTTGTAAGTGTTTTATTGCAATATCTCAGTAAATGAGTTTAGAAAACAAAAAGTATTTCCAGTGAGTTCATTTATTCAAAGCTCAATACCTTCAAACCTTGAAATTTAAAGTGTGGTCCCTGAACTGGCAGCATTGGCATCACCTAGAAACTTGTGAGAAATGCAGAATATTAGGCCCCAACTCAGACCTACTGAGTGAGAAGCATCATTTTAATAAAATCCCCAGATGATTCCTATGCACATTAAAGTTTAAGAATACTGCTTTAGAGAAAAAAGCTTTTTACTCTAGGAGCAAGCATGTAAATTCATTTGAAACTCTATATAATGTTTTTGGTCCTCAAATATGAACATAAGCACAAATAAGACTCATTTGTGACAATTCAGCATTGACATACAAATTGCCGTGATTTTAGATAAATGTA